ATATATATGTATATATATATATGTATATATATATATATTTGTAACATGTGTGTGGACCACGTGTAGTAGAGTAATACATGATGACTCAGATGTAAGAGGGGTTAGTTTTGAGGAAAATTTTCCGTGCGTGTCATTTGAAATTGGTTATACACATAAAACTGTTAGTGGCGTAGTGTGTAAAGTAGTGTAAAATACTGGATGGCGAGTGACAGACTACAGAGGAGACCGGGCACTCGAGATACATAGAGATATTGTGTCAGTTGTCAGAGGGGACTGATGGTAGGCAATATCTAGTCTGTGGCTATATAGGTCAAGGATATGAGGTGATCACTCCTCATATTCTTATACTTTGGTAATACATAGTACGTCATTTCACTCTATATATATATATATATATATATATCCAGTACAGCTTGGGTTAAGATTGCAAATATGGAGTATATCAGCACTACACATTCGAGGCATAGAAAAGACCTCTGGGCAATTTATACTAAAATGTTATCTGCCTGGGTAGAATAAGAGAGTGCAGCAAATTCAAGAATCGGGCACATGAAACATAGAGAAAGCACACCACTCACGAGTTCGGGATGCGATGAACAATCCGCTATTTAAAATTTACAAGAACATCACATGAGGTCCACGCCCGGACCAAGAAATAATACAACTAGTGTAGTGAGCACTTAACGATTGCAAACTTTACCATGTGACCTCGACAAAAATGGGGAGTTCGTCGCGTATAACGTGTAATGGACAGCGATCTCAATACATAACTTTAATACATACAATGGTAGTTCACAAGAGTGAAGCACTTGTTTCTTAGACAATCTGATCAAATTCCCGGCAACAGCATTTGACTACCATCTGGTGAACCTACACAAAGAGAACATATGACAGTACAGGGACTCGCGTATATAGAGGTTGGTGTTGTATTCGGTATCGATATGTGGACTCATACTTTTAATCGATACAATGACCCTACACTAAGCCCATGGTTCTCATCTATAAACGCCTCGGATAGATCAAATTCCGCAATCTTGTGCAAATCTGGTGTGCGCGGCAGGTAGGGCCTACCAGGGTCACCTAGCACTACATCAACACCACGTGCGGCTAGTTGCTTGAGCCATGCAATAGCCAAGCTCGCGAACTCATCATCATAACAGATATCGCCCGCAAGCACCACATCCCACGGTATTTCTATTGTTCCCGAATATGTCAAGTGGTGCAAGATATCAATAAAAAGTTGGACATTGTATACATTATAAGATACACACCCACACATACACACACTCAATAAACACACACATACATACAAATACACACACACATACATACAAATACACACACACATACATACAAATACACACACACAATAAACACACACATACATACACACACACAATAAACACACACATACATACACACATACATATAAATACACACACACATACACACAGAAACATACACACACACACATGCACGCACACACAAAGAAATAATCAAAACAGAAACATACACACACACCCACCCACATACACACACACACCCACATACACACACACGCAAACACAAACAAACAACCGGAACAGAAACAGCAACAAACGAACACACACACACACACACACACATATATATCATATACACACACACACACACATATATATATATATACACAAACACACACACACATATATATATATATACACACACACACACACATATATATATGTGTATATATATTTATGTGATTTTATAAACACATACATACATACATACACACACACACACACACACACACATATATATATGTGTATCTATATTTATATGATTTTATAAACACATACATACATACACACACACCCACACCCACCCACCCACCCACATATAAA